ACAATTAATTTTTTTAAATCTTCAATGATTGCCATGATCTTAACAATAATTAATGTTTCATATTTATAAAAAGTTATCAGAAATAGCTCTAATTAAATGACTTCCAAGGATGAGTTGAACTTAAAAAACAAAATGTTGAAAAGAGTTTTAGTTTGAAAATCATTTTCTAAAACTCCTTTAGAGTATTACCATATTTTAGTGAGAAATGATTAATAGATAATTTTTATATACAATTTTTTTTCATTTAACATTGTATACATCTACTTATTTAATAATGTATAAAAGTTGTAAATAAAAATTATACAAAAAAAATTACCTGTATAATATTACCCCATTTTAATTGCTAGAATAATACATATGAAGATGCATCCGAAAAGAAAGACTTTTTGAGTCTATTTTTGTCATTCTCAAAACATAATTTGGGTAGAATGATATGATCCCACTACATTGATTAGTGACCATGAACTCAAAGGTATCTCTTTTCTAATATTGTAGAAATTAAGGATGTTCTAAAACCCTAATACATTTTTATTAGAAAAAAGACTCTGGGGATTAGCATTGACTCAAAGTTCTTCATTATTGAAGTCACTCTCAAAACCCTAAATTTCGCTGAACTTTCATAGAGGAAGCAAAGTTTGAAATGTTCTTATAAACATTTTCTTTCAATGGCGAATTCCTCAACCAAGATGGAAAATTCACATGACTCTATTTGATGGCGAAAAAAAAAAAGACAAAAAAGAAAAGGAAAAAAAAGCTTTGAAAATAGTAAAAAAACTGCACCAAGTTAAACATTTTCTCTACTCATATAGATGGAGAAAAAAAAAATGAAAAAAAGACCAACAATCTAAAAAAAACTTAGTGGTAATATCTTTCTAGTGGTGTAGTAAAATAAAAATCTTCAGATTTAGGAAATAAAGATAATGTTGGCATTTTTAAATTAAAAAAAAAAAAAGAAAATTAACATCCTTAAATAGAAAAAGTTGAAAATTGACATCTTTAAATAAAAAAAATTGAAAGTTGATATCTTTATTTAAAAACTAACAAAATTAACATTTTTAAATAGAAAAAAAATAAAGTTGACATCTTTATTTGCACATTTTCTCTGTTGAAGTATATGAATAGAAGAAAGAAAGAGAGTAAAAAAGTTAAATACATGTATATCAAGAGATTTAGGGAAAAGATTTTTTTAAATAAAAAAGGAATTTAGGAGAGAAAAGAATTTTTACATATTACATACCCCATTCATTATATATAATAAAAAAATCTAATACACTAATTTTACTAGAAAGAATAGGAAATCACTCCATGAAAAATTAGTTTTGAAATACATATAAATAAATGCCTCTAAAAACACTAACGGTTAAACAAAGAAAGTCAAGATCTTTCATTTAAATGGAAAAACTATTGTGCAGTTCGAAGTGCACAAAACTACACAATAGAAATCGATTGATAAGATAAGGTAGATCCCTTAATATTGGGGGCCTTCCTCCATCTAACAGTCCCTGTTTTGCAATCTGAATTGCAAAATAAGGAGCCCTTGTTATATATTACTTTGTACTAAAAGATACCAATACATCAAAGTCAACAATTTCAATTGCTATTTGATTTTTTTTTTTTTGTTATAATTAATCCATTGATTAGTGATGAAGGTATAAATTCCTCCTTCCCTTGATAATCTCATCTAAGAGTAAACCAATTTGTTACAATCTTTTTTTTTAAAAAAATTCATTTTTAATGAAATAAAGAATAGAGGAGAAAGAAAATGGAAGGTCTAAAAGGAAGGGCTAAGGGCTTTATCTCCACATTTTATGAATGGGAAAATAATCTTTTTGATTGAGTTATGACTATTAAATAAACTTTAATCTGGATGCTTGTATTATGTAATTGCAAGCTTGTTTTTTGTATGGATTTATAACTAGATGTAATGGGTTTGAGGTACTCTTTGTACCTCCTTAATAAATTATTTTTTGTTAATAAAAAAAAAAAGAAAGAAAGAAAAAGGATACATATAATTGTTGTGGAAAGTGGAAACTGCTGAGTTGAATCAATTAACAACATGCTGGACCCATTTATGACACAACTTGGAGTCATGGACTAGTTGCTTTTGCTTACTTGCGTATATAAAGGTTTAAGGAGTGTTGCTGGTAATGCAAGGAGACAGTAGCAGTACTTAATTGGTGGTTGATCTGAGAATATTTTGATGGAGTCAAAATGGTTGATTTATGCGTTATTTACACTCTTCTTATTAGAAGGGCTATGGTGCCAACGGTGTTGGGACCAAGAGAGAACTGCTCTCCTACAACTCAAGCCTTTCTTCACTAAACCTACGCACCTAAAAAACTGGGAGAGAGGAGAGCAAAATTTAGATTGTTGTCAATGGGAGGGGATTGACTGCAACTCTACTTCTGGACGAGTCATAACACTCAATCTCAATTACTCATGGTTCGAAGAAGAATCTGATGATTACATGTATACACCAAATGGCTTTATGAGATCGGAGAATGTCATGTATCTAAATGCGTCTTTGTTTCTTCCATTTGTGGAATTGAAGAGTCTCCATTTGGCTGGAAATGGAATAGCAGGTTGCATGGAAAATGAAGGTTTTAATCTGTCTTTCAACTTAATTTCATCTTTTACTTTAAAAAAAATAAAAACCCACTTGTTTAGCGTTTCATCTATATTATTTTTTGGTATAGTTTCAAATTTTTATGTTTGTGGCTCCCAAAACTGAATTAGTAATTAGCTTGAATGTTGCAAGAAATTGTTTTGCAAGTTTTGAGAGGCTTTCTAAGTTGAGGAATTTGAAAATCCTTAATCTAAAAAGCAATCAATTGAACAATAGTATCCTATCATCATTTAGTGAGCTTTCATCTCTCAAGTCTTTACATCTAGACTACAACAATTTCCAAGCATCTGACCATGCTGATAGTATAATTGTCCATTTTTTACTTATAGAAACCTGTTTCTTTATTGTTTCATCTCAATATTTATGTGTGGCTGCAAAATTAAATTAATAATTGTACTTTTTGCAAGTTTCAAGAAGCTTTCTAAGTTAAGGAGTCTAGAAATTCTTGATCTATATGACAATCAATTGAACAATAGTATCTTAACATTTTTGAGTGAGCTTCCATCTCTCAAGTCCCTATATCTAGGCGACAACAATTTCTAAGCATCTAACCATGCTGACGGTATAATTGTCCATTTTTTACTTATAGAAACCTATTTCCTTATTGTTTCAGTTTAATATTTATGTGTGGCTCCAAAATTAAATTAATTATTGTACATTTTGCAGGTTTCGAAAAGCTTTCTAAGTTGAGAAATCTAGAAATTCTTGATCTATTTAGCAACCAATTGAATAATAGTATCTTAACATTTTTGAGTGAGCTTCCATCTCTCAAGTCCCTATATTTAGGCGACAACAATTTCCAAGCATCTAACCATGCTGACGGTATAATTGTCCATTTTTTACTTATAGAAACCTGTTTTCTTATTGTTTCATCTCAATATTTATGTGTGGCTCCAAAATTAAATTAATAGTTGTACATTTTGCAGGTTTTGAAAAGCTTTCTAGGTTGAGAAATCTAGAAATTCTTGATCTATCTACCAATCAGTTGAATAATAATATCTTAACATTTTTGAGTGAGCTTCCATCTCTCAGGTCCTTATATCTAGGCTACAACAATTTCCAAGCATCTAATCATGCTGACGGTATAATTGTCCATTTTTTACTTATAGAAACATGTTTCTTTATTGTTTCAACTTAATATTTATGTGTGGCTGCAAAATTAAATTAATAATTGTACATTTTGTAGGTTTCAAGAAGTTTTCTAAGTTAAGAAATCTAGAAATTCTCGATCTATATGACAATCAATTGAACAATAGTATCTTAACATTTTTGAGTGAGCTTCCATCTCTCAAGTTCCTATATTTAGGCGACAACAATTTCCAAGCATTTAACCATGCTGACGGTATAATTGTTCATTTTTTACTTATAGAAACCTGTTTCCTTACTATTTCATCTTAATATTTATGTGTGGCTCCAAAATTAAATTAATAATTATACATTTTGCAGGTTTCGAAAAGCTTTCTAAGTTGAGAAATCTAGAAATTCTTGATCTATCTAGCAACCAATTGAATAATAGTATCTTAACATTTTTGAGTGAGCTTCCATCTCTCAAGTCCCTATATTTAGGCAACAACAATTTCCAAGCATCTAACCATGCTGACGGTATAATTGTCCATTTTTTATTTATAGAAACATGTTTCCTTGTTGTTTCATCTTAATATTTATGTGTGGCTCCAAAATTAAATTAATTGTTGTACATTTTGCAGGTTTTGAAAAGCTTTCTAGTTTGAGAAATCTAGAAATTCTTGATCTATCTACCAATCAATTGAATAATAATATCTTAACTTTTTTGAGTGAGCTTCCATCTCTCAAGTCCTTATATCTAGGCTACAACAATTTCCAAGCGTCTAACCATGCTGACGGTATAATTGTTCATTTTTTACTTATAGAAACCTATTTACTTATTATTTCATCTTAATATTTATGTGTGGCTCCAAAATTGAATTAGTAATTGTACATATTACAGGTTTTCAAAGATTTTCTAAGTTGAGAAATTTAGAAATCCTTGATCTACAGTACAATATGTTGAATAATAGTAACTTGTCATTTTTGAGTGAGCTTCCATCTCTCAAGTCTCTAAATCTAGCCTGCAACAACTTACTAGCATCAAACTCTGGTACAATTTTAACTTTATGCTTTATGCTAGGACTTTAAAGTCAATAATTTCAATTACCATTTTGATTTTTTTTCAATATAATTTCAAAAGAAATAACTCTTTATTATTTCTTTAAATTTTTATGGTAAAATAAAAATAAAGTAAAAGAGGTAAGCTTGCTTTATCTCCATTTTATTATTACAATTATAATTTTTCCTTTCAAAAATGCGCCATCTTGTTATATTTTATTGGCCTAAAAATTTTTATGGTAAATTTTCATCTTTAGTGTAATTTCTTTTCCATCTTCTTAGAATATTGTTCTTAGAAATATATGTTCTTTCTCTAAATTTATTAATTATGACGGAAGATTGCAAGAATATAATTAATTGCTTTTCTTATTAGGTTTTCATAACTTGTCCAAAGTGGAAGAGTTGATTCTGGATAATTCTATCCTCCCAACCAACTTCTTTCATGGCATTGGAGCATTGACTTCTCTCAAGGTTCTATCATTGTACGGCTGCGAACTCAATGGCTCCTTAACACTCCAAGGTTAGTTACAAATTTAAAGAAATAAGAACCCATATCCAGATTTTACCATTCTCTCTCTCTCTCTCTCTCTCTCTCTATATATATAGATATTTGGAGCTATCTCTCTCTCTATATATATATAGATATTTGGAGCTATATGACTAACTTTGTAAGTGTTGTCACAGGCCTGAGTGAATTGACACATCTTGAAGTGCTGGATGTTAGCTACAATTATTTAGGGGGAGCCCTGTCTTCATGTTTATCAAATTTGACTTCTCTCCTAAGCTTAAGCCTCGATTCAAACAAATTTTTTGGAGATATAGCTCTATCACCCCTTAACAAATTGACATCCCTTCAATATCTGTCCCTTTCAGACAATCACTTCCAAATTCCCATCTCCCTTCAACCATTCTTCAACCATTCAAAACTCAAGCATCTTTATGCTGAAAATAATGAATTTTACATAGATACCAACACTGAATCCTTGGAACCAACTTTCCAACTAAATACCTTACTTTTGTCTGGTTGTGGAGATTGTGGAGCAATTCCAAACTTCCTCTACTCTCAACACAACCTGGAGTATTTACACCTCTCGCACCTTAACCTAACTGGAGAGTTTCCCATTTGGTTGTTGGAAAACAACACAAGGTTGAAGACACTTTCCCTGGTTAACAATTCTCTCTCTGGACCTATTGAGTTGACAGCTCATTCTCATACGAGTTTGGAAGATCTAGACATCTCCAAAAATTTCTTGGATGGCCATATTCCAATGGAGATCGGAGCATCTTCGCCAAGTTTACTAGAATTAAAAATTTCAAAAAATTCTCTTACTGGCAACATTCCTCCTTCAATTGGTGATATGGAGTCACTGCAATCTTTAGACTTATCTCACAATAACTTATCTGGTGGTATACCTGAGAAGTTAACCATGGGTTGCTCATCACTACGTTTACTTACTCTATCAAACAACAATCTACAAGGCCAGATTTTCTCTGAGAAATTTAGCTTATTCCAGTTGGTGGAATTACAGTTGAATGGCAATCACTTTTCTGGAAGTATCCCAAAAAGCTTATCTAACTGCCCCGATCTGTCTTCAATAGATTTCAGCAATAACAATCTCTCTGGTAGGATCCCAAGCTGGATGGGAAATATGTCATACTTGCAAGAAATTATCATGTCCAATAATGGCCTTGAAGGTCCAATTCCTATCGACTTTTGTCAGCTTCAATATCTTCTAATTCTAGACCTTTCAAACAACAATATTTACAGGAGTCTACCATCTTGTTTCGGCCCAGGGCATATAGTTCATGTTCATTTATCCAAAAACAGGCTAGAAGGATCACTGCCAACACAGTTTTGTAAGAGCTCTTCTCTAGTAACACTAGACCTTAGTGACAACCAGCTAAGTGGTAACATCCCAGATTGCATCAATATGCTTGGTGAGTTGAGTTATCTTATCTTGAAGAACAATAATCTTGAAGGTAAGATCCCATTTCAACTATGCAAGTTGCAAAAATTGAGCTTGATTGATCTATCTCAGAACCATCTTTCAGGCTGTATACCCTCTTGCCTAAATCTTACCACGAATGAGCTATATAATGAGGATAATCGTATTCTTTCTGCCAATGGTCAATTTTTTTCTCGACTTTTCAATGATACACTTTCTGTTGGTGAACCAGTGCATTTCACAACAAAGAATATGGCATATTCTTACAAGGGAAGACTTCTCACCTACATGTCTGGAATAGACCTTTCCTGCAACAAATTGATTGGTGAAATTCCTTATGAAATAGGGCACCTTAGTAAGATTCGTGTACTAAACCTGTCTCATAATTTCTTGGTTGGTGGAATCCCATCTACATTTTCTAACCTTAAGCAAATCGAGAGCTTGGATCTTTCCTACAACAATTTGAGTGGGAAAATTCCTCCTGAGCTTGTTGAGTTATATTTCTTATCTACCTTTAGCGTAGCATACAACAACTTATCAGGTAAGCCACCAGCAAGGATCCGACAATTTGCAACATTTGATAGAAGTTGTTACCAAGGTAATCCTCTGCTTTGTGGGGAACCAATGAAAAGTTGCTCAACAACAAGTCCACCACCAATGATCCAGGAAGGTCCAACCCAGCGCAGAGAAGATGATGGTTTCATTGATATGGGTGTCTTCTATGTGAGTTTTATTGTGTCTTACATGATGGTGCTCATAACTATTGCTGCAGTTATTCACATAAATCCTTATTGGAGTTGGGTGTGGTTTTATTACACATAAATCCTTATTGAAAGTTCAATTAATATAAATTATGAATATTAATTTTTATATTAATCTAACACTTACAGTATTTTGATAAAAGAAACTTTATTTACTAACATATATTTAACAATATTTAATTTTGTATAATAACAAAATAGTTAAGCCT